TTCACACTGCTTTTGAATGATGCAGCTGTTCCATGGTTTCTTTGGTATACATATGCTAGATTTTTCACACTGTAGGTTATTTAGTACTGGATCTTGTAGCATGCTAAAAATACTCGGTTTAGGTCCATCCAATTGTATTTGAGCTGCTTGCATGTTAACATTTTACAGAGCTCCTCTCTGGCTCATAACATACAGCAGTACTCACAGGAGTCATGAATGAGCAAAGGAATTTGGGAATAGTCTCCTGGGCGTGTCTGTGTAAAAAAAAAAAAATAAAATTCAATGAATGGTCATACTTACTTTCAGAAAAAGGGAAAAATACTATCAATTTTCCAAGCTTGTCATAATAGGGGAAATAAATTACTCTGGAGGAAAAAAGGTCATTACGTTAAAAGCAACTTTTTAATAGCTTAAAATGTTAAAGTTCTTAGCAATTTAGAATAGGAATTCAAAATAAAAGTTCCATTCAGGCTGTTGTAACATTGTCATTCAGATCATAGAATCATAGAATCATAGCATCATAGAATAGTTAGGGTTGGAAAAGACCTTAATATCATCTAGTTCCATCTCTCCTGCCATGAGCAGGGACACCACACACTAAACTATATTGCCCAAGGCTCTGTCCAACTGGCCTTGAACACCGCCAGGGTTGGAGCATTCACAACTTCTTTGAGCAGCCCATTCCAGTGCCTCTCCACCCTCACTGTAAAGAACTTCTTCCTTATATCTAACCTAAAGTTCCTCTGTTTAAGTTTAAACCCATTACCCCTTGTCCTACCACTACAGTCCCTAACGAAGAGTCCCTCCCCAAGATGTGCTTGCTGCAAGCCAAAGAGACACTGTGATCTTTTAAAATACGTCTCCTCTTGCTAGGGGGCATCTTTCAGCAGGTGGTGGCTGGGGGAGCAGACCTCTAACAGCATCCCCTGCTAAAGCTTTCTGCTGTTTGGGGTAATGGGTGCTGGGATATTCCAGGTGGTAGAGAAGTCAGTGGGAGGTGAGGGGGAGAGGCAAGGGAGATGAGAAGGATATGTCGGAGCTGGTTGCAGCTACACAGCACTCCCACCATGCCAGTCTGGCCCTGCTGAAGCAACCTAGCTGGCTCTAAGTGGAGCATTCTGGTGAGGCTTCCCAGCCTGGCTGCAACCTCTGGGTATGTAGTGGTGGGATGAGATGAGAAATTTGAAAGTGGCCTGAAGCTGATGTTGCAGGCACCCTGTCTGCAGACTCACTTCTCCTGGCACAGGGTGTTGCTCTCCCCTTTGGGACGGTGACATCTCTTCTTGCACCATCCCCCAGAAGCGCTGTTCATCTGGCCTTGGGGTATCAGTGCTTAGGTGACATGGATGTTGGCTACCCTGTCTATCCCTCAGGTACCCTGGCAGTAGAGTCCACCAGCAAAGGTGCTATAATGTCCTTGGCAGAAACAGCTCAACACAACTTCTCAGCACCCCTGTGGTGCTCGCTCACTCTCCTCTCCCTTTTCCTCTAGCTCCCCTGTCTTTGCATACATGCTCACCATCCCTTGGTGCTCATGAAGCCCATAGTCGTCGTCCTCTTTCCTCATCAAAAAACCTGCTGTGGCCTATCTGCTCCAAGCTCCATCTTTCCACAAGGCGTCCTGCATTCCCTCAGGTGCCCAGTTCTGCACTGGCTCCCAGTATTACCCAGGGACCTGCTGCGTTGTGCTTGTGCATGGTGCCCGACCCACGGGCTGCATTCAGCTGCCCTTGGCCCTCCCTGTGCTTGGCCATGAGCTGAACTGGCAGCCAGGCGTGATTCAGGCACTGCTCAGCTGCCACTAGAGACCTCTCCTGACTACCACTTGTTGATGGCACTTGGTTTAACAATGTAAATTTATTTTAAAACAAGCAACACTAACTTCCTTGGTCCTTAAAAATGGGTACCTGGTCAGCATAGTGCACTGTTTTAAAAAATAATGTCTTGGATTGTTTAAATGTCAGGAAAGTTGTCAGCTAATACTTTTAGTTATCTATTGAATTTTCAAACCAGTAATGAAACTTTCTTATTTCTGTCTGGTTTTGCAGTACATGGGCAGGATGAAGGATATGATAGAGACTTTGAAATCTCTGCCCAAAAGCTTGATGATTAGAAGTTGAGAATTAATAACTGTGGTGGTAATGAGAAAGGGGAAGATACTGAGGAGAGATTAGAAGCAATACATTCAAATCACACTTAAAAGAAACTGTAGATGATATATCGCTAAAATGGATTTCTGGAAAACAGTTTTCAGTTCCAAATACAGTGACTGCCTTTTCCTCTTTTCAACCCGACCTCCCCAGATAAAAGTGCTTCTGTTTAGTTTGTGTCAGTATGAATTTTGATGAGATCTAAACTATGTGGGAACTGAAAAGCATGCCTTCTATGTGGACATCAATTTCCTTCAATTTGTTGTAGACAGGCTCTTATGTGACTTCTTCCTCTTCAGACAATTTAGTGATTTCTGTTAAAAAGATGAGAAGTAACCAAGGATTGTCCGAACCAGCTGAAAAACTCCTGTCAGGGAACTAAGTAAAAGCAGAGGATGAACATTATTTGAAATTTATAGTAAACTCAGAATTTTCCTGGGAAAAATAAATTGTTTATATTCATGAGCTTCTAAATTAAATACATCAGATTTAGTACTTTGAAGTGGTTTTTTTCTTTAAGCCCCTAATTCTCATAAAGACACTAGATAATCTCCCTTCATTGCAATGTAAGGCGTAGTTGAAATACATGATAGTTAATCTCTGCAAATTATGAAAGTGCATTTAAAATAATTTTAAAACTGCTAGCATAACAAACCCTTCCAGTTTTATTTAGATTCCTCTGGCTATTTCTCTATGAAAGATGGCTTTAAAGTACAGGTCTTGTATGTAGTGTCCTACCAACTTAAATGGCAAGAATTTTACACCCTAACTCTGTAATTGGGGCCACATCATGTTCTTTTCAAGGCTCCCTGTGCTGCTTTATTCAGCAGAAAGATTCCTCTCCAGAGCTCTGTCTCCAGTTGTTACGTTAGGGAATTAAAGTGTGCAGCAGCTTATGCAGAGCAACAGCTTACATGAACAGTAGGCCTTGAATTCCTTCTTTCGGGCAGCAAATGAAACCTTGCATATGCCTATGGTGACATTATGGAACTACAGAGAATACATTGTTTCTGAGCACTAGTGGAAGTCTCTCGGAGTAGGAAAACAGTATTGTAAATAGCAAAGTATTTTTTCATAAAATTGTAATACTAAGACACAAAGCTTGGACTTACAAAGACTCGGGTTAGATGCTGTTGAAACAAAACGGAGACTTCACTGGGATGTGGGAATTGAGCTGAAGTTGATTACATTTGTGTTTCATTTTATTCAAAGTATAAGAGCCGTATGCCTAGCACATTGGACTGAAAGTAAGAATGACAGCATGCTTAAAGTCTTCTGTGGAAGCTGGAAAATATTTCATAAAGATGCATGTTGTCAAAACCCTGTTTCTTTGTATACAATAACATTACTGTAGAGGTACATCCTGGATATAATCAACTTTACTGTGGTGAAAATGGGACAGATGGGTTCACAGTAGCTGAGGAAGAGTGGTGAGGTTTGAACCACGTCTGTAATTCAAAGTTGTCGGTAAGTATTAGTGTTGGTGATAATAAGCAAAGTGAGTTTTGGTGTAATAGGGAGTAAGGTAAAGAGTAAGTAGCAACAACTTACTTAAACATAGGAAGCAAATACGTGTCATATTGCAGTATACCAATGATAAGGAACAACTGCATTCTCTTTGTTCACATTGCCTGAACAAAGGCAAAAAAAAAATAGATATTTTCAAATATATTGACATGATACAAACTAACCTTTTTACAATAATGTTAACTTATCACTTCAGTTTTTTAGATGTTTTCTCAGTAAGAATTTCACTTTTCAATCGGTTCAGTTGCTTTTGAACATTGTTCTTGTACAAGTTGTGAAAGCAGGAAAATATTTTAACTGTGATCCTTTAAATATCAGGAAAGCATACTTCTTTGTTTCGGGGGAGAGAGGAAATAAAAGGGTAGAAACACTGTCAAGTTTGCAGAAATGATCACTTTCTAAGTCTGCAAGCCAAGATTTTAAAGGGATGTATGATTGTGTATTGCTAATCTAAGTGCCAAACTTGAGAGTGCAAATATTTAATATCTTGAAGCATTTCAAGATAGATACCTAATATTAGGTATTACTTAGACTGAAAACCATTGTCATGAGTTGTACTGTTTTAGTATTTGAAGTAGTTTTCAAAAATGCAAACTAAATGTTTTAGAAAGTTCTATCCTGCAATTATGAATAAAGACTTCTTGCATTCCATGTTAGCCAAGTTCTTAATTTTAGAATATTTCAAAATGCTGTAGGAAAATGTTTACTTCGGGCTAATACTCAAGTAGTGGCTAGACTACATTTCTACCATTAATTTACTGTATTTGTTTCTGAAATCATCATGAAAGAAGTACTATTAAAAATATAAATAAAAAGGCATTGTGATTCTGATTTTATTTTTATAGCAGTGTCAAGAGTAGAAGATTTTTCTGAACTGGTTTGTGCTTGCATAAGCTGCTAGGAGTAGAAGTAATACGACTATATGTGATTAGTGGACTGTAAATAGTAACCATGGAGTATGAAATGCTCAGTTTTGAATTGAACTGTCAATGCAGAAGCCATGGCTTTTTAACTTTCTAAAATCTATGTACCAGAGCTCATTTTGAAAATGGTTTGAGATTTAATTGTGCATTTACAGTGGAGTAACAGTAGTTTATGAATTCTAAAACCTGATATGATGCGTATGCATCTTAATGCATTAGAATAATTTTAGTTGACATGATTATTATGCAGTAACTTATTTTTGACATTCTAGAGTTAATCTCCTTTAATATATATATATACACTCCTATTATGTTATTTTACTAATCTTATTTAAAAAGGGAACATTACATATTGAATACTGTACCTCAATTTTATTGTAATGATTTTACTGGTTACCAGGTGGGGTGGCAGTTGAAAAATTTGGTGAATGCACTACGAGAGGATCCGAGTGGTGTTATCTTAACTTTGAAAAAGCGACCTCAGAGCATGCTTACCTCAGCACCAGCTTTACTGAAAAATATGAGATGGAAGCCCCTTGCTCTGCAGGTAATGAAGCTTAATCATAAGTCATACACCATCATTTTAACTATAGATTATCTCAGTGATGCTTTATTGTGCTTCATCTCAGCAGCATATGGATTTACTCTTGCATACTTTGAAAAATTGTTTCTCTGCAGTTTGTTCTCATAGGCTCAATAGAAATTAAACCTGTTAATAGAACTCTTCAAATTTAGGAAGTAATCATCCCAGTGTTTTTCAATGCAGAAATGTAGCCCCAGGTAATTTTTCTAGCCAATGGAAAGCAAGCATACTTCAGAAAATAATAAATTTTAGTTTGACTTCTTGTTAAGCTCTCAGGCAGTATAACCTTAAAGAAAGAAGGGGTGGAAAGATCTTGAGTTCTCAGTTTGATCAATGATGGAGTTATAGGAGAATTTATAAGGTGATTTTACTCACTAAACCACTTGACCATCAAAATTTGCTCATGTAAATAAAGTCGCATTTGAGTCAAAGCTGTCATTGAGATTGAACCCTTGCATGTAAAAAGGTGTAGCATAGGATGTCCAGCTAGGCCTTTAATCTTAGTAAGCCTGCAATGTGCTGAAAACCATGGAATGGTTTCATTAAAGCTTTCATGTTTCACTGTAGGATAAAATGTCACTGTGATGGATTACTCTAGGAAATAAAAGTTATGTCCAGACTAACAAAAGATTATAATCAACAGATAGAACTAACAATAATCCCTTTTTTCATTCAGTGCAGATAAAACATTGTTTAGAAATGTCTTTTCTTTGTGTAAGGATTGCATACTTTGGGACATTTTTATTATCACAGTAAAAAGTCTAATTTGAAATTGAGCATATTTGAGAGAGAAAAGACTTCTTCAAGGATTGGGCAAAAGGAAAATGAGATATGGAAATGGCACTGCTAGCAGCTGTGGTCTTTGCCATTTAAAAAATTGAGAGATTTATAAAAAGAACTAATGCATTGAAGAACTTATTTCAAATAAGTATATATATATAAATTATTTTATAATGGTTAAATACATCATTGTCTTTGAAACTGAGTAATTTTTGAATGACTGAGATGTCTTGGTCTTTCAGATATAAAGAACTGACTAGACATGTGATAAAAAACTATCTTATTAGTGTCTGAAAATAATATTGCAAATCCGTATGCATGATATGACTGTATGAATGACCATACTAGAAGACTTCACTTTACCATAGCTTCAGTAAGAATATCAATACAAACAAAAAAATGCACATCATTGCTTTAAATTAGGTAAAATTCTTTCAGCCTAAATCCTCTTTGGGTGAATATGGTACTTCTTTGGGTGAATTGGGTTATTCTCCTAAATAGTTCCTTTTTGCTTCACTTAACCATTTGCTCCTAGAATAATTACACTGAAGACCCCATGACAGAAGTTTCTGACATTGGTCCTTGATGCAGACAACTGCAAATGAGCAATTAATTCAAGACAGGATATTCCAAAAGGGTGGGAAGAAATTGGACAGAAACTAATTTCCACCATTTAAACTAAAAGTCCAGTAGGAAAGTCAGGATTCCTGTGGTCCTTTTACAGCAAATGCAATCATGAGCTTAAGTTGTGGGCCTGCTCAAAAACTCCACACTTGCTTCCAGAAGCAAAAATCCAGTCATCTTTTAGTGTATTGTATTTATCTTTGATTTGCATCTCAGCATCATTAGTTCAATACAGATACTAGGGTGCTATTCAACTGATCTAACTTCAGATATCTGCTGTGTACATATCTACATATCATTCAGGTTTCTCATTTTTGCTCTGGCCATCAGGCATATATAACAGGTACTGGTTCATTCATCTTGGCCTATTTCAGACTGATTTGCCTTAGGATCAGGTGAACTGAACATTGTGCATGCCTTTTTCTCTCCATTTGATAATAAAGGGAGGTCTGGACAGCTAGCTCAAATGTAGATTATCTGTATTAGATGAGACTGACCCTAGATAGAGGTCTTCTGTAATTTTACAGGTTTGGGAAGGGGGTAGTGGGAGTATTGGTTTGAGTATGGCAGATTTTTGCTGGTAGCATAGGAAATATCATTAAGGCTAATAGGAGTCCAAATACAGATGCTATTCAACGTTAAAGAGATTATTCTGATATCATGATGATATTGTTCTGATATTAACAAACATGACACTAGGAAAAGGCCAGAACCTCATTCTATGCTTGTGTGTGCAGTGTGCATATGTATGTCTGTTGTAATTTATGATTTCAGTGTGAGAAACAGCAGTTTTCCTAAGTAGTCTGATGTTGAAAAAGCTCCAGTGTGAAGTGAACACAAACTTCAGAAGCTGCATAAAGTAGGGATTTCTTTTGTTGATTTATGTAGATAACAGGTGAACAGATGTTAAAGTCAGCTGATGTTAAAGTTTAAATGTAACCTAAGTGTGAAACCAGTATTATCAAGCAGTGAAGATTATATTTGATTAATAACAAGCAAGAGCAGTCCGAGTGAAGTGTAATTTTGAAGCTATTCAAAAGATGAAGAACTTATGTTTATTTAACAGAATCTACTTTAAAATAATAAAAAAAAAACCTTCCATAAAACTAAGTTTTGTAATTGCAATTTTCCCTATGCCTGTTCTGAAATTTCTTAACATTCCTGATTCAGATAAGAGTGCTATTCTGTAATAAGAACTTGGGACGTAGTGTTAAGAGGAGAGGAGTAAAGTGATGATAGCAAATTAAAAAAAAAAAAAAAAAGAATTAGGAAAAGCAGTACTTCCATCACCTTTGGAAGCAGGAAAAATGATGATAACTTTTTTCCTATATCAGGATGTCATGAAATAATTGAGAATATTATAACTGTGCTGTCATCCCAGAGCTAAGTTAATTGAACCATATGTATTATTCAACAGACACAGGCTATAAAGAAATTATGACTCAGTAATAATTCTGTTAAAGTACAAAATATGAGCAAAATAGTCAAAGGACTCTAGAATAAGATATGGGGATTAATTTCTGATAAAATGGGAATTAGAATTGGCAAACTGTCCACTGTGTTTTTTTGGTTCTGCAAATGGACTGAACAGAGGAAAAATGTGGTGTCACATCCTTATCAAATTGCATTGAGTGAGGTGGGAAGGTGGACGTTTGCCCTAATGTAAGGAGGATGACGCATAAGCAGAGATTGAGTTTTTGTATGTACCCCACCAATGAATATGTTGAACAGCTGTTGCAGCAAATGTAGACAGTAAATATTTCAGTGAATTAAATTAAGAGACTCATTTACATTGAGATTTACCCTGGGATGTTTTAATTGAGAGCCTTCAAAACTAAATTTTAGCTGAAAGTGAATAATGTTGAGGTATTATTGGTAAATTACATTCTGCTTGTTCAGTCAGTAATTGTATGTAAAAACATGAAGCTTTCCATTTGCAGCTAGATGAAAAGACAGACTTAATGGAGAGGTACTAAGTATGCCGGTAAGCTGGGAAAATGCTAGATGAGTCTTCCAGTTCAGGCAGTATGCAGGTACTACCAGTGTATCAAGCAGTTTGGTGTGTCAGTGACAGGGCATCCTGGTAATTAAATTATGCATACTGATGTGGAAATTTTTAAGAGTTTGCTGTCCACCGTCAGTGATCTAGATAAGCCATATGCAGGCCAAATATTCATGGTCTCTGGGAGGAAAATGCTTTTAGATCATTCAGATATTAACTGGTTACTAATTGGCATAAATACATCTTAGAATGTTCAGTGATTTACTTTGAACAGCTCTGCCTTCACATTGCAGTCTTGCTATGAATTAGGAGTTAAATGCAGTCTACATAATTATTGAGTAATTCTTTGGGTATTTTTTCCTTTTAGCAATAATGCGGTATTTTCATACCTTTCACAAATATTCTTATCCTTAGAATAAATATGAGAAGTTAGGGGAAAGAAAGAAGAAGGAAAAGAATTATGCATTCTGTGTAGCAGTCCTGAAATTGGTATTGAATGGCTTAATGTACAGTAAAATAATACAATTAGCCTACGGCTATGCTATGCACCATTAGATAGTGAGTTTGTATTTACAAGTGCACGAATTCCAGCTCTAAGGTCAATGAGTACAGAAGGAAAAGCATTCTTCTTTTTTTCCCCCTTGTGACCTGATTAAAGGAAGTGCTGTTGTTTTGCTTTTTTCTTTTCAGTCAATTAGTTATTGTATGTTTTAATATCCATCAGTATCTAACTTCTTACAGGTAATCAGAGTTCTCCCTTGATGCATTCTGGAGTCATATCCAAATTTGTAAAGTGAAGGTATTTTTCAGCCTGTGTTTTTCATTACTGCTTTTGTAACATTCAAATTAGACAGCTGTGGCCTTGGGGAATTTTGTGGTTGCCTTTGCAATTGAAAGTATTCATTAATATGGTATTGTACCATAAATAATATTATATTATGCCTGCAAGACAAATCTTACTAAATTTGCCTTTCAGTTACTTTTTCTGATACACTGATCAGTTATGTGAAAGCCCAGTATGATATTTCAGATCACAATGTTTTAATTTCTGACTGCTACTGAATGCATTGAACAAACCAATTAAGTTTAATCTTTATCTTTTTTATTTTATTACATAATATAGAGATAACTTAATTATCTTTGAACTCTCCAAATTTTGCTCTGGGTCAAAAACTACCTTAAATAAATGTCCTCTACTCCAAATTGTCTGTTTTATTTCTCCTTTCCACTTTGTGTTATTTTGGGGAGGTTTCAAAGGGAGACTTCCTGAAGTGCTGTTTGAACAAGGGTGGAAATTTCAAATGAGAAGATTCTTGGAGCAAATGAAATCTTAATGTAAGTCACTATCACACTAGCAAGCAGCTAGCTGCAAAGTCCTCCTTTGCCTCCTGGAAAATTCTTTATTAATTAGTCAAAAGAAACTGGACTTCGACTACAGTGTGGAAGACTCTTCATCCAGTTTCTTTATAACTCAGAAAATGAGTGGTAGAGTCATATGTTTCCATGGCTCAGCTGATCTGGACTGCACCCACCGGTATCAGGGAAAAGGCTCTTACTGATGTCAGTGAGTTTGGGGCCAGTCCGGCTGCCAACCACATCTTCTATGTTGACTTGGAAAGAAACCTTCCAACCCCTCTTAGACACTGTCACACTCTTCAACAAGCTTATTTAAGACATCTTTTGTATATTTAAAATAGTTCACTGTACTGTTTTGTATGTGATTAAATTGTACTGTTGCAAAATCACCAACAGCTCAGTATCTGCAGTTCATTAAAGAGACTTTATTTGGGATTAGATATGGATCATATCTCCACAATTATATATTCAGCTTTTCAGCCTCCTAAGAAGCAACAGGAACAGTAACAACACAGTCCTTTTCTGAGAGAAAACACTACTTTTATTATTTTTATTATTTTTCCTTATGTGATTATATTGCCTCTTTCATTGATCTAGCAACAGTGCTATATTCTGGTTTTGTGATTTTTAAGTAAGTAAAATTAATGACCTTGCACTTTTTAATCATTAAATTTGAATAAAATACTAACTTGTTTGCTCTTTGGTTGCTTAGTTGTATTTTAACTATATGGGAGTTGGGCATTCTTTGCACCACTGTTAAAATGGATTCTGACTGGGTTTTCCTACAAAGTATGAATTACAGCATTTCATTACTTTGTGGCATAGTTGCTCTTATAAAAAATGTATTTTATTGGAAACATTCTGTCCAATAAATTGTCATAACCTTGATCCAATATGAAAAATATATTAGCAGTACAATTTGTTTACTGACGCAAATACTGTATAAGGATATTACCACTTAAAATTTTGTATTGGTTTTGCTTATGTTTTAAAAAATTCTATGTCTTTTTGTGGAGCAATGTTTCTCAAACTATATATTGTAGTTTCCAAGAGAGTTAATGAAAGATTCAAAGAGTTTTAAAAAACATTAAAAAGAATTTTGGATAGTATGTATTAAATATTAATTACATTCATTGTTTAAAGAGAGAAAGCAAAAATAATATTCTGACTTACTGGGGGCACCCTCTCAGTTCCTTCAGTATTGGGCATGGGAAAAGCAGCAATAGGTCCTGGTAGGAGGAAGAGGGTAGGGACTGCAGGGCAGCACAACTGGGGACAGTGCATCTGGAGGAGAGGGGAGCTAAGTGTGGGTTATCAGCCAGTATGTATTGGGACTTCTTATTTCCCTGTGTTAAAGAAACTAAGCTGCTGTAAGTAAAGACTATTGATTATCTGTTTCCTGGCCAACTGACAGTGTGGGAAAAGGACCATAAAGACTAATGATCCTGAAGGAGGATGGTGCATCCAACATGTTTGAGAAATAGTACTCCAAAATGTATTGAAATACGGATTTTGTGTCTGTCATTGTGGGTTAAGATTGATGAAGAGTCTGTTGCATTACATTATTGAAACTATTCGAGTTTTAATATGTAACTTCTAAATTTCTCTGGAAAGCTGTTCCCATGGGTCAATTATTTAACTTTTTGGACCTGAAAACTTCTTCATTATATTGCTGTTTCAGCAATCTCACTTGCCCTGGACAGCCTACCAAAAGGGACTGCAGCAGGAAAAAGCTCTAGCCATTGGAAGGGAATTAACTCAGTGGTAAAACTGATCTCCAAGGCATCCAATTCAGAAATACCTCAGTGGATATCCATGTCTTTTTCTGTTTAATGTGCCTATGTATCGTCCACTGAATGGCTGCCATTGAACTGGAGAGCTACATGGCTGATTTATTTGCAGGTGCACAGATTGACTGGAACTGAACAATTGTGGTCTTTCTAAACTGCAATGCAAGAAGCCATGTAGATGCACTGAACCTGCAGGCCATAATCTGAAGGCTGTGTTTTCAGCCAGAAGGGTCTGAAGACTTTTAATCATTTATAAAATGAAAGCTGAACTGCTAAAGCACAAGGTGGTAGTTACCTTGTCCTCAGTGTGTTGAGCTGTTACCATGAGAGACCATTTGAATACTTCTACTATGTAACAGTTTTTACCAAGCTAGTGATCTTCTGGTGAAGTGGTGTATATATTTATTTAAAAAAAAAAAAAAGACCTATTTTTAAATTTGGATTCTTTCTTTTTTTCTAATTTCACAGCTTTTCTGTTTTTGTGGAAATAAGCTGGAGAGTTGACTTTGACAATATGACACAATTATGGAAAAGATAAATCATAGTTTTGAAACAGTCCTACAGGATTGTGCTTCCACTAGATTTTATTACAGTTTCCATCCCCTTAAGAGCTCCAGGTGCCATGGGAAGTTAGACCACTTTGCCATTCTATGAGGCACCACAGTCTTTCAGACTGTCACCAATTGCACTGTAATTTTTGAAAGTGTCAGACATAGGACCAGTTCAAGGGAAACCTGTTACTTTCAGGTAGCTGAATAACTTGTGGTTTTCTGTGGTACACTGATTAACATGTCTTCCTATTGCAGTCACCCTTAAGATCATTGAGTCCAACCAATTTAAATAAGTTAATCCTAGTCTGTAACATAAGGGAAATTCTTTACCTGTGTCCTCCAGCCTTCCAGAAGCTGGTCAGGACCACTAAAGGCTCATGAACCTGTTGTAAGTCCAGATCTCTGTCATGTTGAGCGTGTTTTTCCTTATGTGACATAGACCATAAACTCTGATTGATTGCCATCAGTCTAGTCTCTAGGGCTCCCTTTCCTTTTATCTGACTTTTCATGCAGGTAAAGTAAAAGGCTGTCTTCTTCCTCAAAGTGGAAAAGCGCAAATCCACCTACCCAACTTGTCTTCCTTCCAGTGCCTCTGTCAGTATGAGCCACGAACAACAACAGCCTCAGCTTAACAAGTGTAAACAGGGTCTAGGTCACAAAATTCTTTTTCCTTAAAATGGCTATTAGTTCTACAGGCTACTTAGCAAGCCCCAAAGTGTGCTTGTCACAGAAGTGCAAGGTATCAGAAAGGAAATAACCAGTGTTGTCTTAGTGGGTGGTTCAAGGATGTCTGTGGCTACAGTGTCACAAATGAAAATTTAAAGGATAAAATCTTTGGTTTTCTGAATTTTTATTTTTATTTTTAATTTATTTTTTACCCAGCTTTGCCCCCAACTTTATTCTTATTTTTGCAGACTTCCGTCTTCTTGTTTTTAGTGGTTGTGAAGTCTTTTACCTGTCTGGTTGTGTGTGTGTGTGTGTCTTTCTCCCTCTCTTCCTGTAAATACTGACAGTCCTTGATTGGCCTGGCTACAGAACACTGACATTAACTCTAATGAGCAAGGAAAGAATTTAGCAGTATCATTGTTTACAGGAGATGGTTTCCTGACATTCAAAAAGAGAAAACTTGTGTTAGTTTGTAGCTGTTGCTCTAAAGGTGGTCTTGCAAAGTTTTAAGAGGAAAATTTTAAGCATATATTTTATTATGTTTGAGATAAGTAACATCTGACACAGCCTTGTTCCTAGTACAAGGCAGTAACTGGCTAAAGGATGAGGTTTCCTAGGTGGCATGCATTGTTCTTACATACAGATTGAATAAAAAGTAATGCAATGGTGGAGGCTTTGCTTGATAAGCATAAATCTGAATGGCTCATCACTAGCTTATAAAAGGCCAACATTTTGAAAACGTTCCTGCTGTTGAGCTTTTGGGGTTTTCTGCAGTAGGCATAATGCTGCAGTGTCAGGATTAACACCTAGAAAATGAGAACGGAATGCCCTATTGGTCTGTCATAATGTATTCTTAATAGTGCTGGTAGAAGAATCTTTCTACACACCCATTCAGTCAGTATTTAGGGCTTCTGTGTTACTAATACAATGAGAAATGCTTGTGTCCTTCAGTAGTTATTTAGGTCAGAAATTAAAGATACAGTGAACTCTCTTTAACCCCAACACTTCTTTCTTCAAGAAGTTCACTTCTGAGAGATGGAGGGGAAAGTAAAGAACTCTTTCAAAGCAAAACTCAGCATTTGTTTAATATTAGATTAATTTTAGGGTATGTGAAGATACTGTTGTACCTGCTGTTTTGCCATTTTTCTTTTTCTTCTGCTTAACTATAGCTATCACACAAGCCAAGCAACATCAGGCTTTTGTTATTAGGCAGACATGTTATTAAGTAGACTAAAGCAATCAAAGTTTTCTTTTAATTTCCTTTTTCTATATCTGTATAGAGACTGTTAGAAAATCTTGCTGTAATTTCTAGCCCTACAGTGATTTAATGAAGACTTCAAATGGCTGGTCATTATTTAGCTAGCCAAGATAGTGAAGTTGAGGAACAAAAAGGAGTGCCTAATTAATGAGAGAGAGAGATATGTGATTAAGAGGAATGATAGCCAGAATGCATGATTATTCTGCAAGGGGTGTACAATTCATTTGCCTGTGAGTAAATGTTACTTTGTAAGGAGTGTGCTCAGGGGAGCGAGGAATAATAATAATCTCCAGTTTATGCTATCTCACAGCACGTGTGCTCTGAGGATGCAGTACCTGACTTTACAGCATCTGCAGACATAAACTGAACCTCTTACCATTAATTCTTAAGCTGTAAAGCAGATGGAGGAGATGACATTCAATTTAATGCCTACTTATGCACCTTTTACTGTAAACACTAGACTTTTTCTTTACAATATTAGTTTAATTAAGAGATTCACTGGATGTTATTTACTCATTAAAATTTTACCAATGGCTCTACTGATTACTGTTTTTATGGGCATTGGCAATCTCTCTGTGCAAAAGGGAAAAAAGATGTAATCAGAGGAGTCAAATTTATAAGCACAATACATGTCCGTTCATAGACTCCTTAGCATGAGTGTTTGTTTTCAGTCAGTTTAAAAGCACACAAAATATTAGAACATTAAACATTTCTTTAACTTTCTGAGCTACAGAATGTTTATAGCTTTTTCAAATAAAAATGTCTTATATATAAGGATAATCTTGATTATTTTTCTCTCTTTTGAACCAGCCTCTTATTCCTAGAAGTCCTACAAGCAGTGTTGCTACACCATCCAGCACTATCAGCACACCTACAAAAAGAGATAGCTCTGCCCTTCAGGATCTCTACATACCCCCGCCTCCAACAGAACCTTATGTTCCAAGGTAAACAAGATCATTTCAGGTATAATTCAATGTAAAAAAATATTTGTAAAGTAACTGACCATTCTGTTCCTACCTGTTTATCAGCCTCCCCTGTGGGATTAGGCTGATAATACTTCATTTTGCAGGTGAACTGGTTATTAAGAGTAGGCATGTTTTGCGTGTGTGTGTGTGTTGGTGTGAATCAGCGTCTTGTCTGCAAAACAGACAGTAGCCTTTACAAAAAAGGGTTCTGTATCCTATTTTCTCAAATATGGGATAATCTATTGTCTGTAACAGTCTCATTGCATTTCAGAAGAGCAAAAATTATCTGAAACCCTAAATCTATAACCAGGGAAAATTTCCTGTCTGTCCCCTCTCCTAATGATCATGATACAACAAGGGAGGCTGAGCTAAAAGCAAGAAACTTGCAACTTCAAGCACAGCACTGTTCTGTTCTGCTGTAGTGTTTTCTAGATATCGTTGATTTGTTAGTCTTAGAGCAAATTTCAGGATTGTGTTTTAGTGTTGCTACTCTGCAAGATTCTGCAGTCACCATGCTGTTCCCTGCAAACATATCTGCTACTCTGACCTGCCACCTGGCGTGGGTATTTTCATCTTTCCCAGGCCTCTGAGCTTGCTAAGCCAGGAAATCAGCAGATCCTCCTTCAGATTTATCACCCTACCCTCACACGACCTCAAATGATTCAGTATAATTCCATAATGTACACAGATGTTCCTTTCCTAAAAATCTGAGAGAATTATGGCATATAAATAATATGGAAGTAGCTACCCAGAAGTCTAGGAAAGTATTTTAGAGGAATCAGTATTTTTAAAGCTTCCATATTCTTAGACACAGACTATCATATGTGCAGTCAATGTGTTTTTAAATTACTTCTTGCTTTTCTTTTAGTTAACTTTCTTGAAAGGGTTGTAGGGGCAGCATATCTTTTCTTATAGCTGAGTTCCTTGTAGCTGAGTTTTTCTTAGACTTTCTTATCAGTAACTCTTCTAGCCAATTAAAAAGATGTATGAGCTGATACTGACAAGACTTTCCTGGGGTTATCCAGGAGTGAGGTATATAGCAAATTAAATTGCCTAGTAGGGAGGAGAAGTTGTGATTTCATAATAAATTCTTACTTTTAAGAGATAGGAAAAACCTTTCAGGGCAGAAGAGTGGCTTTCCACTTCATGATATAGATGTTGTCAGAAGACTTTTGTGAAGCCATTTCTTCCTCATCACTGCCTCATCTTTACCTGGCTTGATTTTATTTCTTGGAGAAAAAAATGCCATTTTATTTCAAATATGACACATGTATAACACAGTTGAACTTGTTAACACAATTGCTCTAGTATCTGTCTTAATGTGACAAGGAGACAAACAGAATACATAGTCTAGTTCAGTATTTTTATTTCTTATAATTAAATAAAAACATTGTCAGTCATGACACTTGAATTGCTCATAGGAATTGAATGTGTCTTTTATCTCTCTGATATGAGTATTTTGCTATGCCTATGTAAGTATTTTAACATCTTTATGTAGTCTACCCACAGAAAAAAGTCAACTATTTTATTCTAACCCATTAGTGTAAAAAAGCTGCAAAAAGAAACCCCAACCAAGACATAGTCTTAGGTTTCTCTTTGAATGCAGTAGTTATATGGTAAAGACCTGTTGCTCCTGAAACCGAAACTATCTTAAAAGAAATAGTGCCTTTGTACTGCTGCTGATCATGTTTACCACAACAAAAATAATTTAATTTGATAAGAAATGCATCCTCTTTTTTGAAGTATTTTTAGCAAATATTAATTGCTCAGCAGTTTTTGAGTTCCGCTCTAGAAACTGAGACGTTCAAAATGCATTTTTATTATTTGTAAATAACATTTCTTATATGATGATTATAATGTACTACCTTAGACCAACTCTGATTAAATCTTCTAATACATATTAGTACAAGCTGTAATCTTACAGAGAGATTAAGCTTTGTACATTTGAATTTTTTTATCAGCTTAATCCTGACAGGCTATACTTCATTTCACAAACCTGTCACACAGTGTACAGTGTTTCTGAATAATCTGTTTTGGCATTTCATCAGTTTATTTTGTCCATGATTAACTGTATTTAAGCATGTCTTGATTTTGGGTATTATCGAATTGTTCAGCATCTGTTTCTCAGTTTGTTGTTGCTGTTCCAAAGGAAAAAAAAAATCAAAAAGCAAAACACAAAACAAACATCCAACCAAGCAAACCCTCCTTTTGTTACTGGAATGGAGTAAAAGTCTTGATATTTTATTGTAAATTGTAAAAGCCTGAATCCATGCCTGAAGCCACCTTCAGTGGTGAGAACTGAAGCCTTCAACTCCAGAGGGCTGTGGCAAAGGGTGTTTGCCTGGTGACTCTACACTTCCCTCCATGCTTGTCGTAAAGATCCCTTCAGCTCAGGCTTATCACTTATTACAGAGAATTCCTTGTGCCAGCCCTTGATGGTAGCTGTAGCATCAACTAGCATTTGGCTGGTTTATGTCAATCTCTGTCATGGTACCTCCTGGGATCCCCCAGCACTGTCACCACAGAAAGTCTTTCCATGACTGGAGATGATCTCACAGCACCAGTGGGGCTGCACCAGCCCCTTGATGAGCCAACACCATGCCTACGCTGGGAAAGCAGCCTGGCAAAGTGGTTAGTGGGGAGTTGTGGCACTGTGCTGTTGCAGCCAAGGAAGGACAGCCCTTCCTTATCCTCCATGGCTGCCTGGATCCCATGAGGGTTTGCTTCATCCTTAGATGGAGCCTCAGGGAACCAAAGGAAGTATGGGTCAGCACACAGCTGGCTTGGAACTTACATGGCAGTCCAGAGGGGCAGAAGGCCACCAAGGCCTCATGCCCAGCATGAGGCCCCAGCTGCTCTTTTGACTACCTCTCATCCATTTTGCTACCCAGAAATTACTGTCTGATTAGGTCTGTTGCAGCCATCTCCAGGCACAGTACTAACAGCAGGTTTACTGAGCCCTGCTTCATAAAATGCAAAGAGAGGACTCCTACCCCAGGCACACCTTGCTCTCTTATTTGATGCCTTTAGTAGTTTGTATTTTCAGAGAGTGGAGGAGGGGTGTAGGAGAGGAAAAAGCCATTATCTTGGGGATCTGTACACAAACTGCAAAGTGCATGCCTTGCAATGCATTGCTGTCCTGGGATAGCAGCTCATGATCAGGTGCTACACACCCTATTTGGTACTGCTATGTGACTTCTGGACCTAAACTGATTGTGTAAGACTATGTCAAATGTCTTGTACATCATGAGTCCCTGGTTCTTGCTCTGGGATTAGTTTGTAAAGAACCAGATTGAATTTGTCCATGCTTGCAATATGTATTTAAAAATTCAAGTTTAAAAAAGTAATGTTGACATTGTTTCTCTTCCCTAAATCACAAAATGCTAGGTAGATTTAAAAAAAAAAAAAAGAAAAGAAACGAAAAAAAAAAGAGTAGCTGAATGTCAGCTTTATTTCTATGATTCTTTTCAAGAGAAACCGGTAGATGGATACAGTTTGTAAAAGAATTGAATAAGCAGACATGTGTGAGATAACTGGCACATACATGAGTACATATGTATGTATGATGTGTGATCCTGATGTTGGTAGATGATACCTGTTTCCTGCTTGTATTAAGTATTGACATATTCACAGTTTGTTGAAATATGCATAGAAAAAAAAAGACAAAACACCAAAACCCAATGTCTTATCCCAATGTATTAAAAACCTCTCTTGTTTATTAAAGGGATGAAAAGGGAAATCTCCCATGTGATGATGTTGGCAGACATATAGTGGGCAAGCCAGTTCATACAGGATCCGAATCTCCAAACTCATTTCTTGACCAGGAATATCGGAAACGTTTTAATGTGGTTGAAGAAGATGCAGTTCTATACTGCTATGAGTATGAGAAAGGAAGAACAAGTGGTCCTGGAAGGAGAGAGAGCACACCAACATATGGTATGGCATTAATCTAATAAGGATAATCACCATTTATTGACTTTAGGATTTTTGTGCATCTGCTTTTGTTTTTAAGAATGAAAATCTTTTCAATGGGTATTGATTTTGCTAACAATTCTGTACTGCTTTAGTCCAAGTTCAGCCTACAAGCTTATTGTGTGCAAGAAAAGATATATTAGTTACTATGATAGGGAAACACACACGCGCATTCATGCTACTTCCACATTTTGGATTTTGACTTATTTAGGGTGAGAACTCAAACCAATTTCTGGTGAGAGTTCTACTCCTCAAACCTTGATCCTCCAGATTATTTTCCCTTTGAATCTGTTGGAAGTCTTTCTTTAGCTAGTATTGTAAGTTGTTTCACCTTTGGGATGGGAGAATTGTTTTTTTTTTTGTCAAGTGTAAAACTGTGCACTCATAGAGTTGTTAGGATATAAAAGAAAATGAAGAGGAAATCTCATGTTTAAAAAAGGTATTTTGACTACTGTGGTATTAGCTGAGCACACACTTGAATATTTTTTCATCCTTCTTTCTATTTTCATCCAGTTTTTAAACTGAGCACAAGCTGTATGTTGAAATTGTTATAGTAATCCTGACATCATATCCTTTTGAGAAGAAAACAGACTTAATTTATGAGGAAGCATAGATTTAGTACGTCATGCAGACAAGCTCCAAAATCACTTGAGAACCTTGATATAAATGGAGCTTGAGCTGTGTAAAGTATCCTCAGGGCCTAGAGCAATGTGCTCACACAACATTAAAGGGTACGTTTTCATAAAATGCACCCTTTCTATGCACCCTTTCTACACAACTACACAATCCTGCTGCACATCCTCGGTATCCTTTTGATTTCAAAGGGTGTTCAGGTGCTTTCTGACCATGCCCATAGAGTACAAAAGAACTGTTAAGTTTTCAAAGTGGGCATGTCAATTTTATTACTCCAGTTTTTCAACTATTACAGTTGGTGGACGCAGTCGGTTCCATTAAGAGAGATGTACCCTCTGTTCCAGATGTTAAATTTTAATTCTGGTAGTCTAGAGTGAAAAGAACACATTGCTTCTTCAAGGACTGTTGAATCCATTATTCTGTTACAGGTTAGCTCTTTTAGCCTTTTCTTCTATTAGCAGAAAAGTTTATAAATACATGGATCAAAGACCGCCCTGAAAATCAGTCATTATTTAACACGTGTTATACAGCCTTTCACTTTTGATCTCACTTCTTTTTTAATGAATTTACACCATTGAGTCCACTTTCATTTAAGTGTGTTTTCTAAAAATTGTAATTTCAGCATTAAAGTTTCCCATATGGCATTTGTTAGCATAAGATTTGTGGCTAGGCATGACTTTAGGATTTCACAGAAATGTGGAAAATGACAATAATGCTCTTCTGGCTCATGGTGACCCATTAAAGAAGGTCAAACAGAGTTCCAAGGCCTAAAGAGATAATTATTTTCAACACGTACTTATTAATTTTGTAGTGGTGTTAATTTTTTTTTTTTCAATTATTTCTCAGTCCTCCTTTGTGAGAGGTTAATAGGACTCTCCATAATTTATTGGAATCTTTTGACATTTTTTGACAATGTTAACAGGGAGATTTTTCTTTCATGTTGTATAATTGTTGCTATAATTCTAGCTGTTGTGTAATTGTTGCCTCAGAAAGCTTTTGTTCGCGTCCAAAGGAAGACATTTTCCTGAGTCTAGTCACCTGGGAAAACAGATATAGGGAATCCATGGGGATCAGCAAGAACAAGATAAGCAGGGATAGCAGGGGAATGAAACCTGAGTTTAAGGAAAAGAAACAAACTTGGTCATTTCATGTTTACTGCTAGCTACAAAAAACATGCACTTTGAACAGCTAGAGATTTTGTAGAAAATTTGTTTTGGCTATAGCTTTTGGTAACAATCAAACTTCACATGATTTTATAGCTTTTCTACCTTTTTAAGTGTTTAGGTCCTTTCAGTAAGGTACTGTCAGTTCAGCCTCAGAAAGAAGAGAATGTTGTATTTCTAGAAAAAGTAACCTTGGAAAGTTACTTCCGATCAAGTATACATGAGCCGAATACATCCCCACTCAGGAAATTACTTCTTAACTGTGTGCTGTAAATCTCACCGCTTCAATCAGGCTTAAATATGTGTCCCTAAATAGTAAAATAAATTATAAATTAAAAGTTAAATATATATGTGGTATTTCCTGAGCAATGATGTATTTGTGACCTGATGCTGTGGTCTGTACAGAACGTACAACTTTTTTGTCAATTATTTAAAAAGACAGTACAACCTTTTAACATTGTGCTGCCTGCAAGGTATTGGTGTATTTCCCATGAATGCCATACTTCAACAGGTCGATAGACATGTTTGAGTATTTATATTCTTTTTCACTGTGTCATGGATTTACCTCAGAAATGTGGAGTAAGACTGATCACTTTTATGTAGGGGTTTTCTACTAAAATAATTAACAAGATTAATAATTTTTTACTGTAAGCTCTGCTACTTTTAAAAACAAATTATTTCCCACTTTTCAGTTTTGTTATCAGTAGGCTGATTTAAAAAAGAGCAAAGGCTGACCTTGTTGTGAAAACATTTTGTTTCAAGTCTGCCAGATACTGTGCCATATGCTATGCTATTCTATGTTTCCTTTCAATATACTATTTAACTTGCTAAAAACTTCAGACCACTTCAAGTAACCCCTCTAAGTTACATACCACACTTTCACTGAATTTCCAACTATATTTGGGGAATCCTTAAGCAGAAATCATAGTGCACATCTTTTAAAATCAATTCAGCAGCTTCCAAATAAAAATTTTAAACATATAACAGTCTTCAGCTTTTCTGCCTCATGCTGTCTGAAACCAAAGTGAATTTACCAACAGTAATGTACTTTGCTTTCTGTGGATGAAATCCTACAAAAGAAATTACACATAGAGGTTTTCTGCTTCCTTTCTTACTCAGTCGCTGATGGATCTTTTAAGCCCACAGCAACGATGCTATTTGTGAAGGTACTTTAGTGATGTGGACACATTTCTGTTACTTAACAATTCACATATGCTTTAAAACAGTTCTCTCCACGTGTGTGCCAGGGGCTTCCAGAATAATAAATAGATATTGTTCAGTGAAAACTAAAGTAATTTGAATGCATTTTTCAGTCTCTAATGTCATTCTGCTGATGATTTTTTAGGGCACTGGATTTATTTTCTAAACTTAAAAAAACCCCAAATCCATTAAATACTTAGCTGCTTCTTGTCTGGTAAAGCAAACAGAACTCCTCTCTTAACCTCTTATTCAGAGGCGATGCTGGATCCTCTTTCGTAAGCAACCCTGCAGAATAGCAGCTTAGCACATAATTTGTTCCTTCTCCTAAAGAATGTTAGTTTAATGCTGCCGTATGGTGCATGATCTCAATTTTTTCCTCTGTTTCCAGGGAAACTAAGGCCTATTTCTATGCCAGTAGAATATAACTGGGTGGGGGATTATGAAGACCCCAATAAAATAAAAAGAGAGAGTAGGAGAGGTAAGTGATCTGAACACACATCTTGTACAAGGCATTATGGGTTTTATCATGCTTTAACCTATATATTTCAACATCATTTTGCTGCTTGCTTAGATACATATTTTTGTGAACCTGTTTGAGGTTCTTCCATTATGTATACTTAAGTTTTTGTAGAGCCTCTACTAGGACTGAGGAGGTTGCTCAGCCAGGCAAAAGAAAATCATGACTGCAAAGCCCTGCAGTTTGCTTTAACTCTATATTGGCATTTCATTGATTTAGCTGTATTATCCAGTCCCTTTTTAAAGTGGCCTTAATTTTATAATGCTAGTGGACAAATGTATGGTTATTACTGATAAATATTGTTATGCTTAAATGAGAATTATATCTCACATTTCTCTGTCTTCATGAGTTCTTTTTGCATCAAAAACATTCTAGAGCAGCATGGGATTCACCTCAAAATAATCAAGGATAAGTTCTTCAAAATTCTGGTTTGTGAGGCTCAGAAATGTAACTTCACATTCAAAATGATAACCTCTGAGGTGGCTATTATCTCCCAGAAATGAAATGTTACAGTAATGATTGACATTTCTATAAAAACATTAAGTAAATGTTCAGTAAAGATCAAAAAAAAAAAAAAAAAAAGGAAAAAACTGTTAGGAATTATTAGGAAAAGAATACAAAATAAATTAAGAAATTTTCTTAAGCTGCTGTGTAAGTTCTTGCTCATGCTGGGTGTGTGTGCAGTTCCGGTCTCTTCATCTCTTCAGAAAAATACAGTAGAATTGAAGAAAGTTTAGGAGACAACAAAAATGATCAGATTTATGTAGTGGGGTCAATTCAGTAGGCTGGCCATTATAAGTTTGGGAGAATTTAGGCAGGAAAAAATTAAAATTTATAAAAATCCTGTGTGGAATAAAGTAAGGTAATAGGTTTGTCTATTTTTTTCTGAAACAAGACCCAAGAGGTATCAAATGCCTCTATTGAGTGCTGGTTAAAAAGAGCTAGCTCTCTGTGCACTTTGGATTCAGGCTAAGGAACCTCTTGCCACAGTAGGTTGTGGATACTAGAAGTTCACATTTAAGACAAAGAAAGACCAGACAGCTTCATGAATGACAAATCTGCTGAGGTTTCCTAAATTCACAAACATCACTTCTGGATGTCAAACATCAGGATGTCCCTGAGCTACACGATGGTAGATGCTGGAAGAGTATTCAGGGAAAGTATGGATGACACCGTGAATGATCTCAAATGAATGTTCAACGCAAATTACTTTTAAATGTATGGCACCATAGTCATTTGTATTCAATAGAATCTTGTTTAAAAAAATGATTACAGATATGATGATCATAAGTGTATCATTGCTCATTTTTTGAACACTCCAAGATGAAATTTATTGATGTGGGGCTTCTTTTATATTTTGTTCATTTTATTTTTAAAGATACCAGAAAACAAGAAGAATCATGAATTTTCCCTACCAAAAGATTGCTTTCTTATTATATACAGAACAAAGAAGCAAATGGGTTTTGTTAATGAAATAGTCTGGAAGAGTTAAAACTGTCAATAGATCTTAACAGGAATATTATGTATTTTGGACACAGGATTAACATACATACAATAATTCACAATGATATTTTGCATTACTTTTCTTCCAACAGAAAATTCATTGCTTCGCTATATGAGCAATGAGAAAATAGGTCAAGAAGACTACATGTTTCAGAGGAACAGCAAAAAAGATACTGGGAAAAAGTCCAAAAAGAAGGGAGACAAGAGTAGTAGTCCAAGTCATTATTCGCTGTTGCCTAGTTTACAAATGGATGCATTGAGACAAGAAGTCATGGGCACACCTGGACCAGAAACTTCTTTGTACCACGTAAGTAAAAGTAACATTAACAAAAGTCAGTGCTCTCTCTTGGTTTTATAGGGGTGTTGAAACATCTGTTGGATTTCTGCTGTTGCACAGGTTCTTATTCTTTGTACAATAACTAGAATCTCAAAGAAATACTTCAGAATTCTTTATTTTGCTGTTACAAATGTGGTATGGACACCAGTCTTTTTCCTTTAACTAGAAGATATCATGTTTGAAATGGAGTGTGATATCTCTGTCTTGACTTACTTGGCACTGATGGAAAGGGAAGAAGCAGCAGTTTCCAGACTGACTAGAAACCTTCTTTCCAGCATCTCTGTCACTGCAATATGCTAAGTCTTATCAGAAAACCCCTTTACTACAGGTACTTGAAAGGCCTGATAAGTGCAGGAAAACTTGTAAGAGTTTGGTTTTCCTCTGAGGTAAGGGGAGACCTAATGTGTGTAACTGTTTTTAACATATAGCCCTCAACAGCTCAAGTAAATGTGGAGGAAGGGGTTCTGCTGAGTAGGATGTAAAAGGAAAATTGCATTAACTCACTAGTTTTATGTGTCAAGAAAATGGAGTTAGAAGATCACTATGTATTTTAGATATTTTATTACATTCACCCCATGAAAGTACTTACATTTTAGAGCTCAGTAAAAGATTTCATTGTAGAGAAATCTACATACAGTAACAGTACAGCAAAACAATAGAAATAACTGGAATTATCATAATCTACTAACAAAGATTGTGTACTTCAGGTTGCCAGTGTTTAAGGGAGATGCCAGTGTGGTCTTGTCAGGATGTCTGCTGTGAAAAACTGGCAGGTGGAGCTTCGCTGAACCTTTAAGAGAAGTAACTTGGTTTCCTGTTGTAAAATATCACTACGGATTATCACATAACAGTTGGTGTAGATTAATTGAAACTAATGGAGCCTTTAGATCTTTTTACACAATCTGAGTGCTTGGTGAATTGGCTTCTAAAACTCCTTAGTGTGCTGCAGTGTATAGGTGAGTCTGATAAATTTCAAAGAAGATGTCATTTAGTATTAAAAGTAAGCACTTATGGTGCACTTTAATTAAGTCAGGTCCCCAGATTCAAGAACTGCTATTTCCTTTCTTTTTCATTTATAGTAATTTAGGTATGTGACTTTTTTTTTTTTAACTTTATTATTTCCAACTTCAGGTTTGTGCTTTTTTTGTTATGTTGGAAAATTGATAGTGGGGAGATTTCCACTTGCAATGGCAGACTGGCAGACTGATGTATAGTGTTTCCCTAATACATGAAACCAACAAGACTGTAAGTGTCTCCAAACTGTCGTCTTTGCAATATCTGCAGTCTTTCCTAGAAGGAATCTAATCAGCACAAGAGCCCTTGAAATCAAATATTTACATAACAAAATAGAAAAGCTATTTGTGCAGTGGAGGACTTTCAGCTCTGCAAAGAACAGTGTGATAAATTTGCAACACTTCCCATGTATTGAGAGAACACTTATCTGTCAATAACATTTTTCTGTTAGTATACATTAGATTCCTGACACTTGCAGTGAGAGCAGATAAAGAACAGGGTAATGAACACAGATAAAACACAAGAAACTCATATCTGACTGCAATACAATTTTATTTAACTTAAGATAACAGATAAGACAATGAAAATGCACTTTACCTTCAAATTGCAAATTGCATGTTAAAGGTCACAAAGAAGTGGCCATCCTGTTAGAAAATGATTTTTTTACAAGCATCAGCTACCTAGTTTTCACACTTTGGATTATCTGTAAATAGGAGCCTCTGGATGAGCCTGAGTTCAGTGCGGAGGAATAGTGGTAATTCCAAAAACTGTACTAATAGTAGTGAAAGAGACTGGAGGGATTGATTAGGGTTTTGTTTGGTTTTGTTTTGTAAGATTTTTAAGATGTGAATGTTTTCATCGTACTAGAATATCAGTGACAAGAGAATACTGTTGCTGACTGCACTGCATACACAAGCCAGTGCAGCTCCTACCATGTGGCTGTAGTTGAACTTTTACCTATAATGCCTCAATTGTTTGTATTAGTTCCCAGTACTAGAGAGTACTCCACCAGGCTTGTTAAGTTGTTCCAATCCTAGTTGCTTTTGTTGTTAAACCTTTTCACCTGTTAGCCAGTGTTTACCTGGTTTCCATGTGCAAAATTACTTATAAATGGACCTTTATCCTCTAGGTTTAAAGGTCTTTTCGTTACCAAATTTTATTTCCCAATTTAGGAATCTACAGGTTATAATCAAATCACTTTGTAGCCTTATCTTGCTTAAAATAAACAGAATGAGTATCCTGGGTTTGCTATTAGAGAGTGTGTTTTTACATCCTTTCATCATTCTCATATTTCTTTCAACTCCTCGTATTTAATCCTGAAGTATTCTGAATATCCTAAGCGTCCTTCCTGAAGTTCGTATGCCAGAACAGGCATACATACAGAGCAGGACATAAATTTCCAGGAGCTGGATAGAAAGCAATAGTAATATTTCTATTCCTGTTAGCTACCTCTCATTAAATATTTAAAGGAGTGTTTACCCAATTTAACCACCGACTTGAAGTGAGAGTATGTTCATTACTTGGGTTTGGCTTTATTTTTATTGTAATGTCACTTTTCCACATCACTGATTTGCAAGACTGGTATTCCCCCAGTCTTACAATTTATATCTGGCATTCTTTGTTCTTAAATATTTACCAGTCTGTATGGTTGACCATGTTGAAACATATGACTTCGTGGATATGCTTGCTGAATAATCTATGTCTCTAAAGCAACCCTAAGAATGAAATACCAAAGACTAAGGGTCCTGGGCCCTCAAATTGTCCCCATGTGATTCCCAAGTCCATAACATGAAATATTGAAGCTCCAGGAATCCAGGGTCTGCTGTAGTATGAAACTACTCAAATCTTTGTTTTGAAATTATCTCTTCAATATCTATATTCTGTGAAATTAAAAAAAAAAAAAAAAAAAAACAAACCACATTTAATTCCTTTAATTTTTTTCTCTATTTTCTTTTCCTTTTTTCTGAATTCTCTGGAATAGAAACCATGCTGCTCACTCATCATTCAGATCTCATGTCATTCACTGGTCTTTGATTCTGTGTTACCTTTATTCAATAATGTTTTCATTCTTTTTTGAGTCCATTGATATAAATGTTAAATAACTTTGGACTAAGAATGCATCACACTAGTTTAAGGATAAATTCCACTTACAATTTCAGGCCTCTTTCCTTTTGAATTTTGCAGCCATTGATGTGTGCAGGTTGATTACCTTTTACTGTGAAGGTTTTCTGCAGAAAAGCAGCTTTTGCAGTTATGCTGACTTCAACTCCTTGCTTTTATACCTGGCTCTTTAGAAAAGAAAAATCTTTGATCAAAAAACTACACTGATGAGTTAAAATTACCGCAACGGAAATGGTATGGTTTTGTCTTGTAAACAAAGTGGATGGTATTAAAAAATAACCATGGTAATTCAGCAGTGCATGGTGGTTGTCTATTTGCCTAAAGTTATTTTGAAAAATGTCAGCAAATTCAAATTGTTATATTCTGAAGTGATCACAAGAATGTGGCAGTCTAGAATTTTCCTGACCATCAGTATACTAAATTTGTATTACATCACTGGTTCTAACAATTCTGTGTGATATCACTGACCTGCTATTACAATCGAGGCTGTGTGGTCAATGTAGCATTTCAGCTATGGCCTTGAAAAGTGAATAGCATTTACTTTTGTCCACTGAAGATAACTGATGGTATAGCTGATATAATAGCAAGAGAAAAAGTAATTTGTCTTATGTCTGTGAAGTAATTATCTCTCGTATCCACTTATCACATTTTTTTTAATCCTCACAAAGTCTCTTCACCACTTTGCTTTATTTTGTTTCCCATTCCAGAAGGTGTTTCCAGCCTGTGTTGACTTCTAGCCAAGTTGTTGGTTTTGCATTCTATTTTTCTTCCTCAGTATTACAAAAGAAATGCCAACACAGAGTGCTAATGTTTTTATTAAACCAAGGCACACTGAGCTATTGCTAATCTAGTGTGCAAGCAGGTGTTCAATGTCATCTATTACTGTAAATATAAAATGGTGCAGTTAAAATTGTCTTGAACCTTTGGGGCACAAGAAATGAAAGCTCTGGCACATTGTTATAGGTTTTTAAGTTCATTATGTTATTCTGTATAGAAATTTCATTGGTACGTTGTGCTTTGTTTTCATTGTAGGAAAATAATGTGGTTATTTAGGAGGGAGATAGTGTCATGAGTCAAAAGAAGTTCCATATCAGGTTAATAATAATCAGCTACTATCCAGATCAATACAACTTTCCCTTAGTCTAGAAACAGAATTACTATGGGAAGAAAAGGTTGCAGCCTATTGTGTATGGTAGTTACACAAGAAAAAGTTGCTTACATACTCTTTCCAAACCTGTACAAGTAAATTTCTATTACTGACCTTTTTCTTCTCGCTTCCTGCCTCTTTTTCCCTTTGCCTTTTCCAGTGTATGCTCACTTGTTCATATGTATATAGCGATTCCTAATGTCTTGCTTGTCATAGGAAAAGTGATAAAAAAGTAAGATTCTCACTTTGCTGATAACCTGTTTAAAATTGTTTAAATTATTAGTTTTCTTGATCCATTTAATTGTATTTGGGGAAAAAAAAAAAGAATAAAAAGGAAAAACATGTTTATTAGCAAGATGTACCAGTTAAAGTTCATATATCTGGAACAGGTGTCTCAGGAACAGATGCAGAAAGAAAGAATTTGTTACATAGGGATTTTGCTGAATCTACATGTGTAGATATGTACACATGCACTCTTAACTCACATAATCTATTTCGGCACTTGCTGCAATGAGCACCTACAAAGAGACAAACACTTTCCTTTCTACTCTGCTAGTGAGGACACTGAGATAATGATGAGACATTTGGCCAAGGTTACAATTTCAGTTGTCTCTTCTTTTCCAGTCCTTGTGAGGTTGCTGTACCAGTTCACCTCAGTGGGTTTGCTCAGAAGAGCTGTTTGATCTGC